TCGACGTCTCTCACCACAGAGCTTATGAGACTCGGGTTTGGAAAGTCCCTAGATTTCTCAGCCCATATTTTCACTCTGTCGTCTGTCAACGTCGTCATGAATAAGGTCGCCTTGGCCCTCAGCAAAACGTCCTTTGCAGTCACAATGTTGCGCATTGCGTCTGGAAAACTGAAGGTTTTCATTTGGTTTCTGATCATATCCATGAACGCAGTCTTGGCAACCAGCGCTGTTGTCGCTTGGAAGGCGGCCTGCGACAGGCCGTCAGATTCTTATGAAGCTGTCCTACCCGGATCCTGTTGGCGAGTGGAGGATTCGGTCATTATGCACATGGTGTCGAATGGTGAGTAACAGATGAAATGAGCTGAATATTTGCAAATAGCAAGTTGACATATGATTTCAGCATACTCGGCACTGGTTGACTTCATCTTGTCGCTGCTTCCATGGCCAATGATATGGAGACTAGGCTTGAAGCGCCATGAAAAGATTGGCGTTGCTGTAGCTATGAGCCTCGGTGTCATTGCAGGGTTAGTCGGGGTGATCAAGGTCATCAAAATCGTGACTATTGCCGAGGGCGCAGATATACCATGTGAGCATCGGAATGGTTTCCCGGTACCCACGTGGATCTATCTAATCATTTTACAGATCGTCTATCTCTGCTCTTTATATGGGGACAAGCCGAGATCAACGTCACAATCGTTGCGTCATCTATCCCCGTTCTGCGAGTCCTTTTTACGGAGATGTACGCAACGTCGAGATCGGACGAGAGAAATGGATACTTGAAGTCGGATGGACAGAGTGCCTTTCCAACAGAAATTGGCATGAATACTCTAGAGGAGGGAAGGAAGATAGAAGAAGAGACGAACCGGAATGTTCTGCTCGCCATGGGTCCATCGACGGCCACCAACTCCGCCATGAGAGCTCATGAGACTGAGATTGGATACAATGCAATGGACGAGATTACGCAGGGAACACATAAGCACACGTTGAGGAACTCTGAAAGCTACGAGGGAATTGAGTTAGCGAGAGCCCTGAGGTGACAGGGAAAAGCTTGTTGATCGAGATATGCAATAGCCATTGAGCAATAGACTCGGATAGCACATGCAGTTGTATTCATTTCGCCTTCTTTTGTCGACATTTAGCCTACTAAGTATCTATGACCCAGGGTCGATGTCTAAGCGCAAAAATCCTGAATCACGGTCTCCATCACCGATGCCACTTCCCGGATGCTCTCCACGCTCACCCATTCCTCCTTGCCATGGATCCCAAAGCTTTTGGGACCATAGACAACCGATGAGATACCGACCTCGTTCAACAATGCAGCGTCGCACCAAAAAGAACATGCAACAGGCTCTTGCGCCTCACCTAGACACTTCGAGGTAGCAGAGACGAAGGTCTTGATGAACTCTTCGTCAGGGCTCTGCCCAAGGGGAGGCCGCGAGAAGGTCTTTCGAGGAGCAGCATATTTGAAATCCGGATTGGACTTGGCGATACTGCTCAAGATGCTCTCAATGTCTTCAAGGATCCTCTCTGTAGTCTGTGCCGGAATGGTTCGAAACTCAACGGTCAGAGTGCAGCGTTCCGGGTAGCTGGAAGGCTCTTCGCCACCCTGAATGAGGCCGGCATGCAAAGATGCCTTCCCCAGTCGAGAATCGGAGGGAAGTGACTTTGAGTACTCAAGGAGTGCCGTCTGCACGGCGCCTGCGAGCAAGATGGCATCTACACCATCCTCGGGCCTAGATCCATGAGCCGCAACGCCGAGGATGTCGATTTCAACCCAAATGAATCCCTTATGAGCGATCGCCATCTCCTGGTTGGTAGGTTCCGGTATGATGGCAGCATCGGCCCTCCATCCAGCCCTGATGACCTCTTCCGTGCCTATGGAGAAGTTCTCCTCGTCCGCGACTGCGGCGAGAATGACATCGCCCCGTAGAGGAGAGTGTGATGTAGAGCTGCATCGAGCCATTGACGCCATGGCAGCTGCTAAGCCAGCTTTCATGTCCGCGCTTCCACGACCATAGATTCGTCCTCCGTCCTCCTCCTTCAGTTCTCCACTTAGAGGATCCAGGTCTGGCGAGTAACTCGAAAGACTGACGGTGTCAACATGCCCGTTGAGCATGATGGACTTTCCTCCTCCTGTTCCGCGGAGTACACCGACCACGGAAGGTCGGCCTTGTCTCTCTTCCAGCCAGTGCGCTTCAAAGTTGCGATGTTGCAACCACGCGGAAATGTAGTGCGCAATCTCGCCTTCGCCGGCACCTGAAGCCTTGGATAAGTCTGGGTTGGAAGAGTCGATTGACGTGAGGATCTGCGTCAACGTGACCGGATCATCCGTGGACACGTCCAATGGGATCTTGTAGTTCCGTGGACCCTCTGTATTGAGTAATACCACGACAGCGTCTTTGGAAAGACAGGTTGGGCGTGGGCTTACTCCGGCAAGCCGCCGGAGCGCTGCGACAGTGGCACCTCCACACGGCCCGCTGTCCACCCCCTTCGTCTGGAGATACTTCACGGCCTCATGGGCTTCGAAGTCCGAGACTGTAGCACTGGCATCAATGCCTGCACGAAGATCATCGAACGCCGTCAGAGAGACAGTGCCGCAGTTGAGCCCTTCCATGATGGTTCTCGAGGTATGAACCGTCACTGGTTTACCGGCCGTCAGGCTCGTCCATAGACACGGAGCGGTATCGGGTTCGACGGATAGGACTGCGCAATCTCGTCCATCAGACTTGCAGTGAGAAACGACGGCATGCGCCAGAGATCCAACGCCGACTGGAGTCACCATCAAAGTCGGCTTCAGCCCGTGGTCGGCCACCTGCTGTTCGGCCTCGCGAACGAGGGTGGAGTAGCCCTCGACAATCCAAGCAGGAATCTGCTCGTACCCCACGAAAGCATTGTCTTGAATTAAGAGACCGCCCTTGGCTGACTTTGATGCTTGCCAGGCCTCCAAGACAGCGTCGTCATAGTGGGAGTTGCTCACGATGACTTTGGCGCCCTCAGAGGCGATGTTGGTGACCGCCTCACCGGCAACACTGCTGGGAACGAAGATGTGCGCAGGAATGCCTAGAATCTTGGCCATGGCCGCAACGGCTCTACCGTGATTTCCCTCCGTAGCTGCGTAGAGGGAAAGATTGTTCGTTTGTGCGGCCTTTGCGACGTCGGTGAGGGGCGTGTCAATGGACAAGTGTAGATGAGTCGTGATGGCGCGGTATGTTCCCCATGATGCGCCCAGAATCTTGAAGGATGGGAGTCCTAGCCTATTGCTCTCATCTTTTAGGTAGACTGCTTTCACGCCTAGTTCCTGGGCGATATCCTCGAGAGAAACGAGAGGGGTTCTGGCGAAGGCGGGCAGCTGCTGATGGAATGCCTGTGCGAGAGATGCATCGGATACAGGCTTTATCGGCCCCGTGCTGTCATTGATGTACACGTTTCTGCGTGTGGTCGTCATGGTTGAGTACTATGATCCTGTCTTGATGCTACAATTTAACTTGAATTGACGCGGAGAATGGCGAGAATGATGGAGGGAACTTGTCGTTCCTTATGCGACATTTTGTATATGAGGGCTTGTTAGATGTATGTGGTACCAACGCAGACTGATCACCATTATTAGATAGCCATACTCGAACTTGAGGAGGTGTTAGGAGCATTGTTGAAGCGCGAATGTGGACTCCGTGAATCGTCAAGATGAGGGGCCGGGGAGTGGGGACGTCTGTCGGGGAAGGGCGCAAAAGGCGCGGGCTACGCCGAATAAGTGTTTACCGATCGATTCGCAATTGCTGCTTAATAAACAGTTCCGTCTCGACCAGGTGTTAGAACCAGCAAGTGACTCATATATCGCTCACCAGCTTCACTATTTAGACAGCCCGTATGAACGTGGGCCCGTTCTATCTGTCATTCAAGCCCTGTTGGCATACTTCATTTGCGTCTACCGTCTTAGCGATCCGCCCTTGAACGACACATCGATGGAGCTCCCTTACACCACGGTCGACGTCTTCACGGACAAGCCCTTTGAGGGCAACCCTTTAGCCATTGTCACGATCCCGGCCTCGACATCCCTGACGCAGGAGCAGAAACAAACCATTGCCAGAGAGTTCAACTACTCGGAGACAACCTTTGTGCACGAAGTCGACGACCCCGCATCCACGGAGCGCCGCTTCGATATCTTTACGCCGACCGCGGAACTTCCCTTTGCGGGCCACCCCACCGTCGGCACAGCCATCTTTCTCAAGTCCCGCGGCGTCAAGAAGCTGATTGCAAAGGCCGGACCCATTGAGATCGAAGAGACGGGGTCCGAGTCCGTACGGGCCGCTATCCCGCACAACACCCATCTTCACCAGAAGCGGCTGAGGGACCTTGGGCCCGGACCCTACAGCAATGCGACGGCAGAACTCGCCAACGCAGAGGTCGAAGCGCCCGTCTTTAGCATCGTGAACGGCATGACATTTGCTCTTGTTGAATTGCCCTCGTTGGCATCGTTGGCGTCGGCAAAGATTGGGCCCATGGAGTTTCGGCAGCAGGAGCTTCTGGACGAAGGGTGGCGCAAGACGTTCATTTCGCGATACTACTTTGTGCGCCTTGGGGCCGAGACAATCGATGGACGTGTTGTGCACAAGATCAGAACCCGTTTGATCGAGCCCGATCTGGAGGATCCTGCCACTGGTAGCGCAGCCTGCGCTCTCTCGAGCTACCTGAGTTTGCACGAGTTGTCTGAAGATTCCCTCAGCTTTGAGATCACTCAGGGAGTCGAGATGGGTCGTAGAAGCGACATTTACGTTGACGCAAAGCTTGGACGGGGCACGGATGGTACACGAAAGCTGGAGACGCTGCATCTTGGAGGAACGGCCACAAAGGTGATGAGCGGCACCATCTTCTTGAAGTCATGAACAGTTTAAATAACATATACAAGACGGCCATCGGCGTTTATGAACAATGTAGATGAATTTGTACATGAAGTGAAGCCGGTAGTTGTCTCACGCAGATAACCTGACTACGTTTCCTTTACCTCAAAGGTTGATGTTCAAGCCAAGAGTGTTGTTGAACGTGACGGTACCCCAGTACGGCTCCTGACCAGCATTTCCGACATTGACGTAGGTGCTCTCGGAGAAGACGCCTTGCTTGGAGAGCGCGAGGAGCCAGTCCTTGATGTCTCCCTCGAAGGAGCCCTTCTCCAGGTCGCCATACTGGGTGGGAGCAAGCAGCGAAGACACGGTGATGCCGGTATCGGTGTTCTTGCCCTGGTACAGCTTCCACCCGTCCTTGCCAAAGAGCCCGTCGATCGTGGCCGTCGGGCCCTCGGCCCAGCCAATGGGCACCTGTCCGCCTTCCCAGCGGAGCCAGAGCATGAGCTCCTGGGCGTTGCTGGACGTGCTGTCGCCTTTGGTGTCGGAGGTCATGAAGTCGTAGACGACGTTGCCTTTGTTGGTTGGGTTAGTACAGGCGAGTACCGCTAGGTTGAACGTGATGCAAAGTAGAAGCCCTACTTACCCTTGTAGGCCGAAGAGTTGGAGACAGTCCAGCTGTAGGTGCTGGGGATGCTCTGAATGTCACTGAGCTTGGTCTCGAGGTTCTGGGTCAGGCCGATGAAGGAGTATCCCTTGACGACGTCCTTTTGGTACGTGGGATCAATGTCCCAGATGCTGCTCCATTGGATTCGTTGCGCGTCGCCGGACCCGGACGTGCCGTAGTAGCCGGTGCAAGCCGATCCCTTGATGGCCTGGTAGGCGTAGTTCATCGAGTAGACGATCCACGGAGTGCCCATGAGGACCTCATAGTCGTTGGGGGCACCGCAGAAGGTCTTTTCGGCGACCGCGGCGGACGCAAAGACGGCCGGGGCCAGGTAGCGAGTGAAATGCATCGTTGCTAGTTGGATTTGCTGGGAATTGAGACGCTGTAAAGACCGTGTAAAGCAACCCGCCAGTGGTGCGAAAAAGAATGACAGTAGGAGTTGGAATGAATGTTGGAATAGGATTACATTTGGGCCGCACGGAGTATATCTTGCTATTATCTATCAAGTACATACATACTTCATTCTGAATGGCGAAACGGAGTCTTGCCTCCTCCCCCTTGCCGAGAAGTTTTGATGAGATTTCGTGGAGAACGCAGGGGCATCTAATTAAGCAGAGAAAGCAGACCATAAAGCGGTTGTAAATACTGGACCATATTGCACTTGGTCAATCTGAAACCGCCCGTCGATTGCAACACCCCGGCCCGGACGGGAAATAATTACACGAACTGGGCCCCCATCGAAAGGCGGAACAGCAGTTTACATCGCCTGGTTAACTAACTAGAGTGGACGCAGCTTCATGTTGAGAGCAATCCCCGCATCTGTACACTTTGATGTGACCCCCGTCCAGCTACTTAACAATCTCGCCATCTGGAGCAGTCTCAAGTCCAGCCCGCGAACCCAAAGACGTCGGATTGTGCCACGGTGGGCCTTGGAGAGGTTCATTAGTTGTCAGCTTGATTGTGGAGCCGCGTCAGCTGCGGGTTCTAGACTTTTTGCATGGGAATAACGCCGGGAAACAAATCTATTCATCGGATTCCTTGGGTGGGGGAGACGAGTGTCGCTGGAAGGACCGTGGTTGTGCTCATTTCGATGATGTTGACCGACCGCCTCGAGTGAGCAAGTAGGTTTCCTCGCATTCGACCCGCCATAGTGTGTTGGAGCACCTAGGAGATGCACTCATGTACGGCATGGTTCAGCTCGATAGCAACTGGGCAGAATCCGGCTAAGGCGGACATTTGCGAGGGGCGAAGCTTAGGGCGGTGGAGGCGGCCAAAATCCATGCATCGTGTCAATATGCATCCTAACAACGCCTGTCGGAGGATCAAAAGGAGGGGTGTTTTGTTAGGTCTAAACGGTGTCTGACAAGCATGACTAGTGAGAAAAGTGAAGCTATTCGCAAGTTGTTTGTGCACTCACCGAACCTGCTGTCTCGTTCCTCACCGTCTCGTTACTGCTTACTCTCCCCTCACTGTTCCACTTTGTTGGTGACAACCTCATGAGTTATCATCGAATTAGTAAGCTAAAAGAAACAAAATCTTCTGGAGAATGGCTACAAGTGGGCACAGACCCAGCCAAGCCCAGGTGTTGAGAGCTGCGGGCTTCTAAATCAGTGGACGCGGGAAAAACAGCACAACGCCGTCCAACGCATCCATGGTCCGATCGTTGAGTTCTCATGACACCCTGAATGCCACTTTGGTGGGTTGGCCATCGGGGGACAGATCAAATGGCCGCCGTATGCCACTGCCAACTGGTCAAGTTGCACCCGGGATACTGGCTTGCATCTGGCAATTGGCGTGGATGCCGAGCGGCTCCGGGGCAAAAAGCGGAATAGCGGCGGAAAGTCAATGGACACGGGCAGGGGGTTTCATAGCTCCAAGCTGGGGTGTCTACGGTTCAAGACATTCGAGTCAGTGGAATCGAGTGCAAAAGAAGGTCGCATTGCCGGACCCAATATGACGGTATAAGTGGACATTGCGTCATGTCGACGCTCTTCGAAGCTTCGGAGCTTCGAAAACCCCACGATTGCTTTGAAATCTTTTTCTGGGGAGTTCGATACATAAAGGCCAGGTTTGCGAAGCAAGATCCTACATGGTTCTGCTGAAGAATCTCAAAGGTTAATCGGACGATAACTGATCATCACACATACACAAATACTCATCATGGCACCAACATCAACCAACGCCTGGTCCATCACCGGCATCGGCAAGGACAGCAGCAACTGGGATACCCTCGAGCTCAAGAAGGATGTGCCTCTGCCACAGCTGGGCGACTACGACGTCCTCGTGCAGATCGAGGCCGTCTCCCTAAACTTCCGCGATCTGGCTATCCCAAAGGTAAGTTCGCTTGTAACCCTTGTGCCCGGTGCCCGAATTATCTCCGCCACTCCCGCTAACGCCGCTCCTTTGCACCTAGGGCCTCTACCCATTCCCCGTCAGCTTCCCCCGCGTCCCGGCCTCTGACGGCGCCGGCCGCGTCGTCTCCGTTGGCCCCAAGGTCACGCAGGTCAAGGAGGGCGACAACATTGCGACCCTCTTCAACCAGCACCACCAATCCAACCCCATCACCCCTCTCGCCGTCAAGTCCGGCCTCGGCGGTGCCCTCGACGGCACGCTCCGCCAATACGCCGTGTTCCCTGAGCACGGCGTCGTGAAGTCCCCCAAGACGCTCTCGTCCGTCGAGGCCGCCACGCTCCCGTGCGCGCCGCTGACGGCGTGGAACGCGTTGTACGGTCTGCAGTCCAAGGCCCTTAAGCCGGGCGACTACGTGCTGACGCAGGGCACCGGCGGCGTGAGCCTTTCGGCGATCCAGTTCGCCGTCGCAGCGGGTGCGACGGTCATCGCGACGACGTCGTCGGCGGCCAAGGGCGAGCAGCTCAAGAAGTTGGGAGCGCACCATGTCATCAATTACAAGGAGACGCCCAACTGGGGCGAGGTGGCCAAGTCGCTGACGCCGGAGAGCGTGGGCGTCGACCACATTATCGAGGTCGGCGGTCCTGGTACGGTTGCGCAGTCGCTCAAGGCGGTCAAGCTGGAGGGCGTGATTTCCATTATTGGGTTCTTGTCGCACGGGGACAAGCCCGAGGGGGAGCAGCCGACGCTGCTGGACGCGCTGGCCAACATTTGCACGATCCGCGGGTTGTTTGTGGGCTCGAAGCAGCAGTTTGAGGAGATGAACCAGGCGATTGACGCCAACAAGATCAAGCCTGTTGTCGATCAGAAGATTTTCGGCTTCGAGGAGGTCAAGGAGGCGTACCAGTACCAGTGGGACCAGAAGCACTTTGGCAAGGTTGTCATCAAGATTTGAGGTTGCCGCGCAGTAAAATGCGCGAGAGAGCGTAGTGTAATGCAGTTATGACCGTCACGTATATTTGATGCTTGTGAAATCAAATGGTGAAAACTCCCTGTCGTTGCTATGTAGTACGACGGTTAACCAAAGTGGTTGACGATTTTTCAGACAACATGTTACACCTGCCATCACGAGACCAAGTGCATCTGTAGGACACTTCTTCATAAAAGATTTGAAAAATGATCGCTCATTGACTGATAACCTCCCAAAACAAACCCCAAAACTCCATGCCCATTATATTGATGATCCCATTCCGGAGCCCGCACCCTCATTCCCGCTCAGAAACGTCCTCGATGCGACGATCAATCTTTTCCGTCCCATCGCTCTTGACAGCGCGTCCCTCTGGTAGAGCGCGTCCCGCGGAATCGTACTCGCGGCGCTCGAGGTAGACGGGCTCGCCTGTCTTGTAGGAAGCTGTCCGGACGGTGGTGCCCGAGGGACTCCGCTCCGTCTTGCGGGCCCAGCGCCTCTCCTCCGTCTTGCCGTTGTGGCTGATTGAGGAGGAGAAGGAAATGGAGGATGTGAAAGAGAAGGGCATCTTTGCTCGTCTTTGGTTTTTGATACTCGGTTTCTGGAACTCGATTCGGTTCGAGTACTGGGTGTCTGGCTGTGATTTTCTTTCTTCTTTTCAGAACTGACTTGTGGTGGATGGGGATGAAAGGACGTTCCGGGTATCCAGGTTCGAGAGGAGGCGGTTATGTAAGTACTGTGTACATGGCCTTACCAGCAGGTGCACCTTCCTGACACCAAAATCTGAAAACAAGTTCAAACGTCAAAGTGCCTGCCGTGAGTGTGTGGTGAGTGGCCTGATGTCGACCACATTGCACAGGGCCTCCTTCCTTCTTCGGTCCTCCTTCCACCTCACTGGGCACTTACATCATGGCTCCGCACAAACCACACCGACGTCATCGCAATGCATCCCATCGTGCTTAGTCAGTGCGTTTTATGCATAATGCACAATTCAACTAACGAATTAATCCAACGTGCCTTACTTAAGCATTGCATATCTCGATATCACAGCAAACTCTCCATTGATTGACGAAGGAGCGAGTGCACAGAGTCTATAGCAATTGTTGGGCCATTTCTATCTGTACGCACCTATGATGTTTCACAGGCCACAGGATGTTGTTTTTATCAACAGTAGTAGAGGGCACATCGCGATCTGAGGAGAAGACGGGGCTCTAAGCAGATGACCAAGACTTTGACACGAAGGCCAACAGACTGCCACAGATTTCATCATTTGCCTTACAGTATATACATCATGTCCACTCACGCAGACTTGACCTCTAGAGATAGTAATCAATACGACGCATTTTCATAGATGCAACTAACTCTTCATCTTAAACCTCGTCACAACAGCAGCATGATCCGAAGTCCACTCATTCCCCCCGTGCCCCGGCTCCGGCGCCGGCTCCCCCACCACAACCTCCTCCGACCCGAGAACCTCCAACTTCCCGCCCCGGAAATACACAAAATCAATCCTATCCATCGGCTCCGGCCTTCCCTCATTCTCCAAGAAGATAGGCGACCACGTAACCCCCGGCCTGGCCCCGGGGTCTGGCCACACAACCCGATAGGAATCAACCAACCCGGCCTCTGTCGGCGCAACCGACGTAGGCCACGGCATGACCCCTTGTCCGCAGTGCATCCCGCTCGTGGCATCAATCCAATCCAGATGCGAAGGCGCGTTGAAATCACCCACCAACATCACAGGCACCGCCTCCGCCTCCGCTAGCTGCCCCGCCATGGCCCGGACGACAGACTCGATCTGCGGCGTCCTCTTGGACTCCGTCTCCCGCGCCAGCACCTCCTCCACCGTCATGTTGTCGAAGCAGAAGTCGTAAGGTCCGTATGGGTCATACCCCAGGTGCACATTCCACAACACAACCTCCTCCCCTTCACCATCGAGCACAACCCTTACGGACGCAGCATACGTCCCGCCCTCGTGCGCAGCGGCGTCCTTGAGCGGATACTTGCTCACAAACCCAACGTCGCCGCCCTGCCACGAATACCACCCCAACGCATCCCCCAGCCGCGTAGCATGGCCTCCCGTGCTCTCCTGTACGCCGACGACATCTACGCCACTCGAGGCCAGGAACCGCACTTGTTTGGCGTGGTAATCGGATACCTGCGTTCCGCCGTGCCACAAATTGAAAGACATGACGGATACCTCGTCCACGAGCGGTGCGCCGATGGGGCGGACGGGGATGGTGACGTCCAACCGCGCAGACGATCCATCCGCTGCTGCCGCCGCTGCTGCTGCGACGGCTACCTCGATCGTGATGTGAGAGGGCCTCGCGACGTCAGGCGTGCCAGATACGACGCCCGCCTCCGAGACCTTGACCCATTCGCTCCCCTCGACTTTACGAAAGCTCACGGACGCACTCCCGCCACCGCTCCTCAACCCATCAACCCGCGCCTCGTACCCGTCTCCGACACGCGCGTTCCTCAGCGTAACTTCGTCAACGAGGAACTGAACCGGCCCGGGAGCATACGGCACCCTCACGTCCACCGGCGGCGCAAGCCACGCATACCCGTCTTTGGCGAGGAAGTAGGCACGGTACTCGCCAGGAACCAACCCCCCATTGTCAATCTTGAGCGTCCCATTTGACTGGGGCGCATACCCCCAGACCAGCGACGGTTCCACGAATGTCTGGTTCTCGGGTCCGCCGCCGGAGGCGCGGTAGATGCCGATCCAGTTCTTTGCGTCGGCGTTTGGCGTGGAATAGGAAAATGCGAAGAGAGAGTTGTCGGGTAGGAAGGCTAGGCTTCCGGATTGGCGGGTTGTCGGGATGGCGAGAGCTGGTGTTGGGGTTTGCACTACGAGGAGCGCGGAGAGGATATGTGAGACCAGTGCCGTGAAACGCATCTTGGCAGATTTCTAGATGGATGGTCCGAAAACAATTTCATTGTTGTATGTCAACGTGGGAATCCAGGGGAATTCATCACTTCTATACAGTAATGTCTTAACAATACCTCAAAGTCAATCCTTCAAGCCAATGATGCAAAAGTTGTCAGCTTCGGCGGGGCGACCAATCCTTTGGTGGCACTGCACCACGAGAAGTAGCTACTTCGTTGTGTTCGTTTGCACACTGAAGGATCTCAACCCTCGTAAGTCCAGTATCCTTGGCATGGTACTGTGGTCACATACAGGGCTGATCTGCGTAAGGAATGGGCATAGTCTCGCCCGGGTAGGCTCGCGTTTGGTAATGGTAACAGGGGCTTAAATGGGTGCCTGGTGACTTGCAGCAGCAGACTGAGACACACTTCCGAGATGGACTCGGCGACCTTTTTGTAAATAATTTTGATTCGTTACTATCATAGATGTCCATAGCATCATCATCTACAGCATGCGCACTAGTCTCGCTCCCCCGTTCCAAAGCACGCACTCACTTCTCTCCATAAGCTAACAATCTGGTAATTATGTCTCGCTTACTTCTTCTCCAAGGCCGCCCTCTCCTTCTCCAGGTCAATGTCATCGTCGCCAATTTCGGTGTGGTGATCATCATCGCTGGAGCCGAGGTACTCCCCGAATACTCTCTGTTCAATGTCCATGTCTTTCCACGCGACGCCAAGCTCCTTGCTGTTGCGGATCCTGAAGAAGACGCGTTTGCCCCATTTCCAGGATTCGACACCAGCGAAGAAAAGTCCTGCAGCAATGAACACAATGCCCCATTCCCAGGAGATGCCCTTGTGCTTGAACACAACAGTATTGATGACGGGGATATACAGCAGGGGAAACAGGGTAACGAAGCCGATAATGATGGCCCAGAAGAGGAACCTGTTTCGCCAAACGTCAATCATCCACTGAGTGAAATATTTCTTGGATCCTGGTTGCATGCGGAAGAATGACCGACGCATATCAACCATCTCCCAGGCCAAGAACAAGGCAAACCATGTGAGGCAGGCAAAAGTTGTAGCACGGGCGCGGAAGACTGTGTCGCAAGAGTCATTGTATCTTTCGTTGCAACTCTCTCCAAGATCACCAGCCCCGAAACCGTAGACAACCAGCGAGAAGCTTGAAAGGCAGAGAGCGGTGATCCAGAGGCCGTAGAAGACCATGTCGACGAGGAATTCCATGGTGAAAATGCCCGTCTTGAGAGACCGAGGTGGGCGACGCATGATGTCTGGGACAGCACGCTCAAAGCCAAGTCCCATGTCGGGCATACCAGATGTGGCCATGATAATCCAGACAATTTCAACAGGAGCAAGCGGGAAGACCGACAGCCCGCGTGCGTCCTTGAAAGTGAGACCGACCAGCAATGTTCCAGCTTGGGCAATGTTTTCAGCAAGGACGTGCAACACGAACTTTTGAATATTGTCAAAGATACGACGACCCTCTTCGATAGCGGCAACAATGGAGGCAAAGTTGTCGTCAGTCAGGACGATATCTGATGCATCCTTGGCCACGTCTGAACCTGACTGACCCATAGCAATGCCAACATCGGCACGGCGGAGGGAAGGGGAGTCGTTGACGCCGTCACCGGTCTATCCAAATTAGAAGACCATTACACAAATGGGGCGAAGCAATATCCACTTACCATGGCACAGAACTTCTTGCGGCGGTGAAGAGCCTCAATCATTCGGACTTTGGTGCTTGGGGCGCATCTCGCAATGACGAGCGGCAGGACAGGAAGCTTGTCAACCTCGTCGTCACTCAATGCATCGAACGACGAAGCCGTCATGACCATGGCATCTGAAACGTTCCTTGCGACGCGCTCCATGCGAGTGGGCAAGATGCCAACCTCAATGGCAATGGCCTTTGCGGTCTCAGGGTGGTCACCGGTGAGCATGTGGACCGAAATGCCGGCCTCGTGGCACTGTCGAACAGCAGGGGCGGATTCGGGACGCGGGGGATCATATAGTCCCACGAGACCGCGGAACACGAGGTCACATTCGACCGAAGCACGCTCAGCCTCATCGCCCTTGCTGGGTGTGCCCTCATAAGGCTTGCTCGCAAGTGCGAGAACGCGCAACCCGAGTCCCGCCAAAGCCTCCATGTTGCGAAGGATCTCCTCACGGAACTCAGGCGTGATGTCTATCAGTACGCCATCATCTCTGGGAGCGTACTTTGTGCAGATCTGAATCACTCTCTCAACAGCACCCTTGGTGTAGGCGAAATACTCGCTCGTGGCGTTGTTCTTCATGATGACGGACATGCGCTTGACATCCGAATCGAATGGAAGCTCGGCAATCTCGCTCCACTCGGGGCTGTCACTGCCACTGACAAACTTGAGGCGATTCATGTCGAACCGGGAAGCAAAGACCTGGATGGCGATTTCAGTGGGATCGCCGCGGGCAAGCCATTGATCATCTTTCTTGTTGATGGTGGCGAGATTGGCCAGGGACGCCACGTAGAGGAACGCGGATAGGGCCGACTTGCTGTTTTGCAACAACTGGTCGGTCTTCATGATGGTGCCACAAGCGTCACCTCCCTTTTTAAAGTTGAGGTGTCTAGGAGACCGCTCGTCGTAGCGAACATCACCAGTGGTGGGGTCCATTGGTGACGATGTGTTTTCAACGGTGAACGTTCCCATAGCAGGCAACCAAGCACCACGGGCAAGCATTTTGCCCTGCGTCAGAGTGCCGGTCTTGTCGGAGCAAATATCCGTAACTGCACCAAGAGCCTCGAGCGACTTGAGATTGCGCACAATAACATTGCGCTTCACCATGCGCTTGGTTCCGGCCGCCATAGTGATGGTGAGTACGACCACGAGACTTGCCGGGATCATGGACAGACCGGTCGCAACTGCGTAGATGATAACTTCCTGACTGGCCTCGAACTTGTTGGCGCCAAGCACAATAACGGCACAGACGATGGCGATGCCGAACAAGAGCATGGCGAGCTTGGAGAGTTTCTGTTGCAAAGGGGTGCCAACGTTGACACCAAGAAAACGTCCAATGGCATCGGTCAAAGTCAAGGTATAAGCCTCGAGGTACCGATGAGGCTTTGCCTTGCCATTGGGCTTGCGTTTGACCTCGCGGACCTTGGAATCCTTCTTGCGAAGGGCAGACGCAATAGCTCCAATCTCGGTGTAAACGCCTGTTGCGAAGACAATGCCCTTGGCGCGACCCTTGGTGACATTGGACGAACTGTATGCGACGTTGAGACGGTCTCCGGGGCCGGTGTTATCGGGGAAAGTTGCGTCTTCGTTCTTTCGCACGGGGAGGGATTCGCCGGTCAACAGAGCCTCGTCGGTCTCGAAATTGACCGCCTCGATCAGCCTGTAGCATCATCAGTTGCTCTGCTTGGTCTTGACGTTGCTGTTGATGGCATAGGATACCTGACATCTGCGGGGATCGTGTCACCCGTCTTGACCTCAACGAGGTCACCAGGGACGATTTCGCCGGAGGGCACAACCATGGATTCACCGTCACGAACGATGTTGGCGGTGGGGGAGCTGAGGGAACGGAGGGAATCCATTGTCTTCTCAGCGGAGTACTCCTGGAAGAAACCAACGATGACGTTGAGCAAGATGACAAAAGTAATGACACCGCCCTCGATGTATGAGCCAATGCCGAAACTAACGGCCATGGCAAGAATCAGGACCTAGGCACGGGTTAGCAAAGGGCGAATCTGGAGTAAAGGTGGGAAAGCAACTCACCATGGTCATGGCATTGGCAATCTGGGCGATGATGATCTTGATGGGCTGAACGCCCTCGGCTTCGCCAAGGTCATTATGGCCGAACTCTTCGAGACGGGAATTTGCGTCTTGAGAAGAGAGACCATTGAGGGCGTTGGCGCGGAGCTCCTCAGCCAGCTGTTGGTATGACAAGGCATGGGCTGGGTGAGAGAGCGGTTTGTTGGATTGGCCCGAGACGTGATTCTCAGCGGGCTTTGCGGCCTTTTGGTTCCCCATGCCAGGCAAAGGGGAACAGAGTGTGAGAGCTCAAAATAGGTGACGTGGGTGGGGGGTTAGAGTTGATGCCAGAGAGAGTTGAACTCTTGGAAATGATAGCGACAGAAAGACGAGGAGGTTAATGAAGATTCCTGAAACGGGTTGAGTTGGACAAAATGAGCGAACTCAGCAAGGACTGGTCAAGGTGGCAACACAGAGGCAGGTTGTCAATTGAGGTGTCATTGGACGGCTTGCAACGTTTGTGGATAGTGGGAAAGAGACATCAAGAGGGAGAGGCGAGAAGGTGCGACATCAGTCTGTCTTTTGAGGGCCAGGAGGGAAGGCGAAAGGCAGCTCCGCCAAGAACAATTGGAATCCATGGAGTGCGGCAACGGCAAGAACGGTACCGGTATCGTGGCAGTTGAGGAACAACAAGGAAAGACTGCCCTGGAGGGGGGCACAGTACCTAAGGTACGCGGACAGAACATGGATGTAAGGCAAGTACCTCATACTGGAAGGTACAGATGGTGACGGTGACAGGAATTGTCTCTGCGAAGATTTTCTTACTGGTGCAGAAGTCGGCGAGTGTATCCATCCATCAAGCATTAGATCACGCTTGGCCATCTTGGCTGACCTTGGCGGAGGCGGGCCCTCGTGCTGTGTGCAGCATTATCTGGGGATATACCGGATATTCGTGTTAAGTGATTTTTTTTCCTCCTGGTAGGGAAAGTCGCACGCATTCAGACATGGGAAAGTGCACGATGGAACGATTACGTCAGATGCCAAGTCCGCTGGAATTTGTATGGAAAGCACGGCGGAAACTTGAAGCATTGAACATGTGCGGGGTACCAAATGGGCAGAAGCTGGTGACGGTGCAAAGGCAAGAAGGTTGACATATATGCCGGGAAAGAGCGGAGGCGGGCGGGCGTGGGGAAGGGCATTTGCGACCCGGGGGAAGGCACGGAAAGCAACGACTGCGGGGTCCTTTCCCTACTTTCCCCCGTCATGGTTGAGGACCAGTCGGCGATGA